CAAGCCATCAATCTTGGCAAATGGGTCCCAATACAAAAAAGGTTGAGAACCACTGAATTAGATGACCCCTGGAGGTCCTTCTAGCCCTACTTCTCTATGATTCTATGATTATCTAAAATAGCAGACTCTTGTAATGCCTACTTTTTTGAAATGCCACCTGCTCAAAAGTGTATTCCAGTGAAAAGTTGATAATCTTTTTTTAATGACATGAGGCTGTTTTCTCTAGCCTAGAGGGTTATAAGCAGGGATCCTGGTTTTCTCTGTTAAAAATTGCAAGTTCTCTGACAAAAATGCACAATCCCAAATTCTTTTATTAGAAACCTCCAAATCTGCATTTTTCCATGATTAAAATGAAATGCCACACAATGTTTTATTGATATATTTACAATTTTAAAGCAATTTGGAAGCCTATCAGTGCCTCAGTCATTATCATAAAATAAATTCTAAATATCTATACATTTGGGTGTTTGATTTTGTGTTTTTTATCATGGAAACTCAGAGCTCCCCCATCCCCTTCAATCACCAGGACATTGGGTCCAGCTGCAGCTGCACCCCCCTCCCCCCATCTCAGCTTTGTGGTGCTGAGCAGCCCTGATAATGCAGGTGCCTTGTAGACCTGTGTGAGTAGGCAGCTATTTGATACGGCTTCGGATCCAGCTGCTTCGGATGCCAGCAATCCAATCCAGAAGTCTGGACCAGGTTCCCGCTTCTATCCGGCCGAAGCGGCTCCAAAGCTTTGGAGCTGCCTCGGAGATCTGGCCATATGGTATAGTGGGGACTCAATGAAATATCTATAACTTTGTTGGTTTTTTTCTTATTTGGATGAAACTTGCAGGGGGGGTAGCCTCTGCTGATAACATGAAACCTGCCAAGTGTCAAGAAGATTGGTGCAGGAGTTCGGGGGGAACCGCACCCCAAATTCTTAAAAGCAAAACTCATGTCACGTGTATGTGTTATGCCATGGGGGGTGAAAACTGCGGGGGTGGTAGTCCCTAGTGAGGCCAAGAAGCCTGCCAATTTCAAGGAGATAGGTGCAGGGGTTTGGGGGGGCCTCAGGCTGCTGACAAGCAAACCTCGTGCCATGGGTGACACTGTGTGTTAAAGCGCAGCAGGGTGAAAACTGCAGGCCTGCTAGCCCCTGCTGCAGCTACAAAGCCTGCCAGCTGTCAAAGAGATAGCTGCAGGGTGGGTTCTGGGGCCTCTCATCCATGGGAGCGTGATGGGCCTGTGGTGCCCTGGGCACACTCATCCATAAGAATATGATGGGCTCTTGGGGCCCGGCACCTCTAGCTGCTGACAGGCAAAACTCGTGACATGGGTGCTTGTGCAAGTGCCTGTCTCCGTCTTGGGGCAGTTGATTATCTGTATTGATTATTTCCTCTCCTTAGTCTGGGTTTTGTGTCTTGGGGCAGTTGATTATGCCTGTCAGCAGCTAGGGGTGCAGTTCCCCCCTCACCCCTGCACCTATCTTCTTGAAAACTGGCAGGCTTTGTGGCCTCAGGGGCTATCATTCCTGCAGTTTTCACCCCCCCTGTGGTGTAACACATCCACATGGCATGAGTTTTGCTTCCAAGAATTTGGGGTGCAGTTCCCCCCGAGCCCCTACACCGATCTTCTTGAAACTTGTCAGGCTTCATGTTCTCAGTAGAGGCTACCACCCCTGCAAGTTTCATCCAAATTGGACAAAGAAACAACAAAGTTATAGATATTTAATTGATTCCCCATTATACCCTATGGCC